CTGTATTTAGGATCTTAGTAAGTGTCTACTTTTGCACATTTCTAAGTGTTTTTCTGGATGACCTACCTGGGAGTAGTTTATCAGTTTATAGTTCCAGCAACATGGTACAAGAGTTTCTCACTGTTTGCAGAAGCACTTGGTATTAACAGATTTTAAAACATTTGCCTACTAAAAAACAACTGCCCCATACATCTTCAAAAATGTGGGTCTCATGAAAGACAAAGGCCAAGGAACTGTTCCAGATTAAAGGAGACTAAAGATAAATAACATCTGAAAGCAATATTATTCCTCAGGAAAAAGAAACTGAATATGAACTACGTATTAAACAGTTCTTGACCTATGTTAATTTTTCTAAAGTTTGATCATTGTAGGATGGTTATATAAGAGAATATTCTTGTTCTTTGGGAATACTGAAGTATTTAGAGATAAAGGGACATGATGTCTGAAAATTATTTTCAAATGCCTTAGCAATATAATAATATATAGACAGTGAGATAAAGCAAGGTAGCAACTTTCTCACACTGGTGAATCTAGGTAAAGAGTATATGTGAATTCGTTTTACTTTCAGCTCTTCGATAGATACGAAATCTTTTAGGAAGAAAAAATGTTCGCTAAACTCATAGGTGTGAATGTATTCGTTATTTTAATTTACTCTTCTCTGATTACTAAGTGAGATTGAACATCTTTTTATATGTTGGTCATTCAGATTTCCTTTTTTGTGAATTTAAATTCCTTTTCCTGATTCTACTTGGCTATTTGCCTTTTCCTTATTGACTTCTCAAAATTCTGTAATATTCTTCATCCCCATTCTTTTTTTTTTAAGATTTTATTTATTTGACAGACAGAGATCACAAGTAGGCAGAGAAGCAGGCAGAGAGAGAGAGGGAAGCAGGCTCCCTGCTGAGCAGAGAGCCTGATGCGGGGCTTGATCCCAGGACCCCGAGATCATGACCTGAGCTGAAAGACAGAGGCTTAACCCATTGAGCCCCCCAGGCACCTCCATTCCAATTCTTTGTTGATGTGTTTCGCAAACAACTTCTCTTACTTTTCGGTTTGTCTTTTAACTTTGGGTAATGGGTTTATTAGGGCGTATCAGCCTGTGAGTGTATAAAATAACTTTGTTTTCAATATTTTCCCACTAACTGTCCTATTTGGGACTCTTCTTTTCTGTTGGATGGAGGATCCCTTTACAACATCTTGTCAAGACTCCATAACGCTCCAGTGACTTGGTTATTAAAAAGTCTCTTGTTTATAATTAAAGAAGACAGTTAAGTTTATCTTGAACCATGAATGTCCAAATCAAATCTAAATCTCTTCTCCTCCTTACTCCTAGCACAAAGGAAACCTTCCCATGTCTCTAGTGGAGAAAGGCTATGGTCTGCTTTGTATATACTCATCAAGGTGTCCTCTGCTATGTGAAGTGGGAAGAACAAGCCAAAGGGCAAGCATCTTTCCACTTGAGTGAACTGTGGGTGCAGCTTCCTCCTTGTTTGTCACTACTTCTCTAATGCTGGACAAGTTTTAACGTCCTCACTGTGGCAGGCACCCATATGCTGCCTTTGTAACTGGGCTGGGAGCATGGTGAGAGTGTTTGAAAAAGCCACGGAGGCTACCTCCCCTTTGCCCAGCTCCTGAAGCAGAGATCTAGCACTGACTTCAGGTTCACATTTAATTTTCACCTTTTCCATAAGGATAGCCTGTTATCCCAGTCCCATTCATTGAATAGACTCCCCTTTCCCACTGATGTGTATTAATGCCTTCCACCCAATACAGTGGAAATTTTGTTTGCCAAATAATGGGAGTACAGGTTGACCCAATGGCTGTTATACTCTTAACTGAGTTCTTTTTTCGCCCTGACTTAATTGCCAGGAGCAGGTCAGCAAGTTTGCTGGGATCGATATTTAATTGGGAGCAGGATGCCAGGCCTTTGGTTTAGGCAACTATAATCTTTATGAGTGATTGCCTTGGCTTTTCCCCCCTCCCTTGGCTTCTGGGGACTGGAGGTACCCTATCTTCCTTCCTTCCACCCAGAAAGAAAGAATAATCTCTCCTCCCCAAAAGCCCCTGATTCCTCCCATGTCTCAGTCCTTTTCCTTATGTGAAGTGAGGAGGAAATTCATGGTAAGTACTGGTCTAGTGAGTTTCAGTAAGCCTTGAGAGGTGGCTGACCCCAACTGCTAGTGACAGCTTGGTCTTAGACCATGGAGTACTTAGCATCCTTTCTCATCAGTTTTGGATTTATCAACAATTTCAGGACAACCAGAAAAATCCCATTTGACATAAGGTTGCATTTCATTGGTATTCTTTCTTGCATAAAAGTTTTAAAATGTCTTAATATAGTCAGATTTATTCTTCCTTATGGCTTATCCTTTCCTTTAGCTTTTTCAAGATATATTTCCCTATTCCTTTCAAAATTTTGCTTTTCACATTTAGACCTTTTATCTATTTGACTTGAAAAATTTGTTTTATATATGATATGAGGTAGAAATCTAATTTTAATTTTCCCTTAAGAATAGTTCTTGTCTCAGTACTATTTGTCAGTCTTTTCTTTCCCAGTGATTTGTATTACTGCCTTTCAAATTGTTTTTAACTGATAACCATTTCTTTGTATTTTCTTTCTATAGGAATCACCTTTGCTGTCCTCTAAGGTTAAGTAGATCCCTGACATGTCCACCCATCATAGTGAATTGTTCCAATGACATTTTATTAGATAGAGTAGGAGCTGTGCTTACTGTTGCATCCCTAGCATTTAGGACAGTACCTGGCACCGAGCTGGCTCTCAATAAATATTTGGTGAATGAACGACCAGGTCCAAGCCAAGTCCACCCAGCTATGAGTCTGCCCTGAAGTCTAGATTCCACAGAATTCAATAGGTTTTCTATTTTACTGCAATTGGTAAAATGGGTTTTTCCTTTCCAGTAGCATAGTCTCTCTCTTGATCTGTTATTCTTTGAGATAGACATTTTGAATATTCCTAGATTTCTCCCTTTCCTTAAGCTTGGCATCTAATGGGTCACTTAGCTTCATGATTTCTACTTTCTTAACTATATCTTCACTTCAGCTCAGGCCTTTCCCCCCCCCCTTCCTTCCTTTATTTTTTTTAAATGTGGTATTTGATATATGTACAAGAATGTAAGTAACACATAATAAATTATAATGACATGTATGCTTATGAAAACCATCACTTCCCTGAAAATGGTGACATTCTCTGCCCATTGCCTCTACTTAGGTGCTCCTTCCTGGCCCACCCCTTGCCTCCACCTAAGAGGTAATTGCTAAGTTGAAGTTTGAGTTTCTCATCCTCTTGCTTTAGTTTCCTTTTCTAGTATAAATTTATTATATTAAATAAATATTCCTAACAATGCATTATGTAGATTTACTTATCGAGCTTTGTAAGAATAATTTTATACTTTGTGAAGTCTGCAAACTGAATTTTTCATTCAACATTTATGCTTCTAAGTTTCATCCATCCTGTTTTATGTGGCTACGGCTCACTGATTTCATTATTTAATTTCATTAGTGAACATAATGAGATTACATTGTGTAACATACCATGGTTTCTCTATTCTCCTGTTGATCTTTGTTTAGACTGTTTCCTGGTTTGTATTTGCTGCTTTGGACAAGATTGCTATAAACACTGTTGTTTATGTCTCTTGGTCCACTTGTGTAAAGTTTTTCCAGGCTCTGTATCAAGGAGTGGACTTTCTGGGTGAAAGGATGTACCAGTGTTTGACTTTGAAAGATAATGCCAAAATGCTTCCCAGAGCGGTCTGTTTGTACTCATGCCAGTAGAGTGTCAAAGTCCCCATTGACTCATATTCTTTCCAACATTTGGCATTATAAAATTTATTATATTTTTCCCTTTTTAGATGTGAAATTGTGTCTCCATTTAATTGTAAATTGTATTTCCCTGAGAAAAGGATTTGAGATTATTTTATATGCCTATTGACTTGACTATTCATGATTCCATTTCTGTGTAATGCCTGTTTGTCTTTGCCCTTTTTTCTATTGGGTTATTTGAGTTTTTCTTCTTGAATTAAAGTTCTTCATGTATTTTAGATCCAAATTAAATTATTTATCAGTTGTAAGTATTGCCAATATTTTCTTCCAGTTTGTGGCTTGCTTTTTTGTTTTCTTTATAGTATCTCTAGTACCAGAGGTTTTAATGAAGTTTTAATAGTAATAATATTGAATTCATCAATCTTTTCTATTATAATTGGAATTTTTTTATCTTGTTTAAAAAACATCCAGCTCTACACTGAATTTATAAATACATTCTCCCTTGCTTTCTTTTAAAGGATTTACAAGTTTTATCTTTCACATTTAAGATGCATATGGAATTAATTTTTCATGTGTATGGTATAAAGTAGGGCTCCAATTTTACTTTACTTTTTCCTTATGGATAAATAGTTATCCTGTAAGGGCATTTCTTTAGATTGAATATATTTACAATATATATTGCTATGAGAAGAAAGCATACAACATCACAGAATATATGGTATTTTGAAAACATAAAATATGTATGTGTGTATATATATAGTATTTAGTATACATACAAAATTTAAAAAGACATACACCAAAATAACAACGATTATCTTTGGTTAGTGGGACAATTAATGATCTTTGTTTATTTCTTCTTTTCTGTAATTTCCAACTTTTCGCTGTTGAACATATATTTATATTTTTTTCACAGTGAGAAATAAGGTAGTGTTTTTAGATAATAATGTGGTATCAGTATATCTTAAAGAGAAACCATGAATTAATTCCTCCAACTTAACTTTTTTTTAGCTTCTTCCATTCCTAGGGGTAGGTAGGTATGCAGTAAGTCTTAATAGAAGGTGAAAAATGGTTGAGTTCTGAAATCTTCTATATATAGTTAGATAAAGTTTTTCTCTCCCAAGCTGTGTTTGCTTTACAAGTATGTAAATCTCTTTGGAGAATAGGATCCAGGTTACTTATGTGTATCATTGATGATATAATTATTTCTTTTTGATCAACAGCAGATAATGAAAAGACTTATAAAGCGATATGTTCTGAAAGCACAAGTGGACAAAGAAAATGATGAAGTTAATGAAGGTAAGCATCTCCATCTTGAGAAACATCCTTTTGCAATTAACTTAATGACCTTGGGAAACTTGATATTGAAGGATACTTTTAAAAATCCAATCTCAGGCAACAGTTCCAAGATTGATAGGAGAATCTTAGGTTACATTTCTAAAACTATCTTTTAAAAGGTTATTAAAAATGTCAATCAGAGACAATTGATCTCTACTCACAGTGTTGTAACTGATTCTTAGAATGTAAAACCTGCAATCATTCTGGAAGCCTTTTAAGTCCTATTATATAAAGTAGTCGGTAGTTTCAGTTCTGTTGCAGTGAGTTCACATGAGTGTTAACATTTTTGCAACTTTAACATTTTCCAATAAAATAGTTGGCTGGTTGGCTCAAATAGAACATACGTTTCTTCAGAAAAATTTTTGCTTTGTAGTACAGAAAGAAATCTGTAACCCATTTTTCTCATCTCATGTTTCACTTTTGCCTTTCACTTTTCTTCTTGGCTCCTTATTTAAGGTACCTATTTTTCCAGGCATATCCTAGGCAGGGCATCTGTCTGTACTATAAAAACGTTTCTCCAAAGGCAAGGCCAAAGAACAGGCCCAGAGTTGGAAAGAAATCAAACTGGGAAAAGTAAGTTGCCTTAAAAATGGAAAGTGTAGCTTCTAATAGCAATGAGATGCCAATAGATCTATCTATGCTGATAAAAGAAAGGGCTAAACTAAATAAAATGGTGATGGCCTTCAAAACCTTTACTTGATGGATGCAAGGAATCCCTGGAAAATCTGGTCTATCCCCTGATACGTGTATGTAGAAAAGAAGTGTATGAATGTGTGATTGAAGACCAGCAAAAATCCAATCATGATGCCCAAGAAGCTGTCTCAGGGAGATGGGATGGAAAGGGGTTGTAGTTCAGGAAGCAGAAATCTGATCATTCATACAGTAACCTCCCTGGTGGGGGTGGGAGAGGACAAGAAAAACAAAGTTATCTGGGGTAATTGGATGGCTGACAGCATCAAAAACAAAGGAGCATCTTCCATATCCTTGCTCCAAAGAGGAAAATGAGTTAATAAGAATATGGAGTTTGAACAAAGTTCTAACTAAACTACCATAGAGTTTAATATCCTCATTTAATAAATGAGGAAACTGAAGTCCAGGAGGTTGAGTAGTTTGTGTTTCCCATGTTGGTAGACTACAAATAACACTTAATGAATAGTTTCCCCATAACTCAAAAACAAGGAAGAAGGATATGGCGCTAGGGACGCGAAAGGGGATCTCATGGGTTTATAGTCCAAATGTGATACTGAATGGTGTGAGAATCCATTTCCTTCACCAAAGACCAGCCTCGTGATTTCAAATTAGAATCATATTGCCAGATGGGAAAGGAAGAAGCACTTTTTTTTTTTTTTTTTGCCTAAAAAAAGGAATCTGCAAATGTTTTATGTATATTCTTGAGGAATAGAGTTCTTTAAGATAAAAAGTTTCTGGCTTGTGTATATATATAAAAGAATATAGAAATTACACTTTTAAGCATCATAAAGGTACCAAGGAATATTATGGAAGGTATGTTTTACATGTGATTCTTTTACAGAAAGCTTGTTAAAATACCAATAATTTGTGAAGAATAATTTCTTAGATTCAGGATAAATTTCCACCCCAAAGTTCACCTTCCAATGTCAATGGCTTATCTACATTGCAATCATTTGCAAAAGCATCTAGTTCTTAATTGCAAACTACATATACTCAAAATACTGCCAAGCTGAATTATGGGAATACTTGTGCTTTAAGAGCCAGAAAGTCTCCTTTGGAGACTCCTGTGTGTATACACATTGCCAGTGGTATCACACCTAAACTTAATTTCTTACTTGTTACTTCCTTATACATTGGTTTTCTGTGTCCTACAAAGTGTTCCTTGGCCCTAAGCTCATTACCATAGCCTTGCCTAATAATCCCTCCTACTTTTTTTTTCTTGCCTTCCCTTACTTCAAACCTGACTTAAAATTTACTTGTCCCATGTCAATATTTGCCTGTTAAACAGATTGAATCACCTTTTGCTAGGAGTTTCATCCATCCTAGCAAAAGGAGATGATCCATGTAGGTTTCAACCCTTATGTCTGAGGGAACCAAAGAGACTCTCTATAGACAGAATGGGATACTCTGGCTGTAGATCAGGTAGCTGAAGAATTAAGAGGTGTTTGAGCCACAGAACAGTACTTTAGCTGATTTTTACTATTGAAAACATAGCTGGACTATTTCTTACAACTTTTTCAAAGGTCAGTGTATTTTTTTTTTATAATTTTTTTTTTAACTTATTTATTTGAGAGAGAGAGAGAGAGATCACAAGTAGGCAGGGAGGCAGGCAGAGAGAGAGGGGGAAGCAGGCTCACTGCTAAGCAGAGAGCCCGATGCGGGGCTCGATCCCAGGACCCTGAGATCATGACCTGGGCTGAAGGCAGAGGCTTAAGCCACTGAGCCACCCAGGTGCCCCTCAAAGGTCAGTGTATTTTTAAAGACTAATACTTCTTGAGACAGCTGGGTGGCTCAGGTTAGGTGTCTGCCTTTAGCTCAGGTCATGATCCCAGAGTCCTGGGATTGAATCCTGCATCAGGCTCCTTACTCAGAAAGGAGCCTGCTTCTCCCTCTGCCTGCGGCTCCCCCTGCTTGTGATCTCTCTCTCTCCCTCTAACAAATTTTTAAAAATCTAAAAAAAAAAGTTAAAAAAAAAGACTAATACTTCTTAAATATCTTGAAGGAAAAAATTCCACAAAAATAACTTGGACTTTATGAAGCAAATGTATTAATATTATATGCATTTGTATGAATTTCACTCTCTCTTCTGATCCAAAGAGCAAATTACCAATGATTTTTTTTTTTAAATACAAATACTATAGGTGAATTAAAAGAAATCAAGCAAGATATCTCCAGCCTTCGTTATGAACTTTTGGAGGACAAGAGCCAAGCAACTGAGGAATTAGCCGTTCTGATTCATAAACTCAGTGAGAAACTGAATCCTAGCATGCCAAGATGTGAATGACTCAGTAACCTGGAATAATGGCTTTGACTATAGCACAAAAGTGGGCAATAATATTTCTAAGTATGAAATACTTGAAAAACTATGGTGTAAATTTTTAGTATTAACTACCTTTATCATGTGAATCTTTAAAACTTAGGTCTTAATGATTTTATTGTTTTATCACATGAAAATGCTCTTCATTTTAATTGTCTGCCTTGACATTATAAACAATGACATGCCATTGTATTTAAAGGCCCAGTATTATTCCATTACTGACACTTTTGTCCACTTTAGAATAAACTCTATGTCTTTGCACTACCTGTTTGCCTCCAAGAGACTGTAAGCTCCTTGGAGACAGGGACCATGTCTTATTCATCTTAGTGTCTCCAGTGTCTAGTACAGTGCCTGGTATATAGTAGGTGCTCAGTAAATGTTGAAACCAACTGAACAGAACTGCCAAAAAAATACAAATAAAAATGAAAAGGCCATCACCATGTAGCATTCCTCCCTTGTCCAAGTGCTAAGAGTTTTTTTTTTTTTCTAATAGAAATTAAAGAAATTTTATAACCAGCTATGACTTGGTAAGATTTTCTTAGAATTTTTGGCATCACTCATAATCCTAGAACCTTTGAGCCCTGAATGAAGAATTTAACAATGAAATGAATTAATAGAAAATATAATTACATTACATATTTAATGCAATTAAATAATAATAGAATTGTTCAAAACGATGCATTAAAGATTTTTCTAAAGTCTATAGAGTTTGTTTTCTGTCTTAAATTTTCATTTGTTGTTTTTCAGTAATGTGAATTTATTCAGTGGGGTGGTGAGTTTGTTTTTTTAAAGTTAGGAGCCATGCAGGGTTGCTATTTTGTGATAACCTTCTAATTTCTGCCTCTGATGTTTAATGCTAAAGAAGATATCAACAACTAACTTCTATCTTGCCCATTAGCTTCATTCTGAGTTTTAGAGGGTATGTGTATGGGAAGAACCAAGAGCGAGCAATGGCTGTCTACGTGGAAACACATATTTAAGCAGCACCAGGTATGTTTCATTTCCCTTTGAGGCATCTCTTGCTATCACTACTTAGTGATTGACATCCTTTTTCTTATCGAAGCATTTCAGTTACACTTTTTACACAAAATGGATGGTGATGAGCCTGTAATTGATTTATTCTATAATTGAGCTGAATACTGGTAATATCCACACCACCTCACAACTTTAATAAGAAAGGGGATATAGGCCAGTAATATCCCTCATCTATTCACAGAACATAAAGCACTCAAAAAAATTTTTTTAACCAGCTGGGTTTTAATCTCTTATAGAGTTGTGCTTATCACCTGGATTCTCTTCACTCTGTTTTTTTGTCAGGTCTTATGGGAATATGATTTTTGATCATAGCTCAAGGATAGTTTTATAGGTTCTAAAAACCAATTAAATACATGATACTTCAAAAATCATTAATATCACACAGGAAGGCTTTCTAGGCATGAAAATAAAAATGAACATTAAATGGTACCACATAAAGATCTTTAAAGATAATTTCTTAATTTCTACTTTTGGGGAGTTAAAACAGTTAAGGTAAGAAAAGAACTTATACAGTTTTACTAACACTGTAAAATATTTCATTAACTTTTGTGCTATGCTAATGGTATTTTGTCTGAAACATTTTCAAACTTTTTGTATTTTATGTTATCTCTCAGAACTGAATAGAATATTGATTTTTCATCATTATATGTTACTATAGTTTATAATAAAACAGTAAAGACATGGAGTTTCCATAATAGACAATACTTTCAGTCTTCTAGTATTATCTTGGAGTCCAAGAAAAATAAGTTTTTGCCTATAGCTATGGAACAGCATATTTAATAATATTCCTAATTGGGACTGGAAACATTTTGAATGACAAAGTGTCAGATTCATCTGAGGAGATCCAGCCTAGGATCCTTGGAGTCTTGGAAGAAGATAAAGCTCATGGCATATATACCCTGTGAGAAAATACTTCCTTTTTTTTTTTTTTTTTTTTTTTTAAGCCCATGCCTCCCACAACTATAGAGTTCTCAACGTAGGTTGTTTTTGTTTTGTTTTGTTTTGTTTTGACTATACTTACATAAAACTGGTATATTTCTGTTATTTCATTTTTTTCTTTCTTCATAGCTTCTAGGTGGTAGCCAAGATGGAAGATGGGTTGCCAAGGTGCGGTGGATACTATTGATGCTATTGATGTCCTGCCCAGATCCTTTTTGTGGGCCAGTGCAGGCATGTCCCAGATTCTGTGAGTGTTGGCTCCTTAGCAGTTCCCAACTATCCCCTTCCCCGGGGAATTGCCCTCCACTGAGAGGAAGCAACCTTGCCCTGGCTGTTATGCCTCCTCTTCCCCATATCAATGACAGATTGACTGGGGTGGAGACAAAAAGGCTGGGCCCTTGTTTCAAGGTAGGGCCAACTTTTTGGTGTAATTCATGTTCTAGAGCTTTGGGAGGGATTAGGCTCAGTCAGACTCCAATTGAAACCAAATATGGGTTTAGCTTTTTTCCTCTGTCTTACCCGTTTCCCTTCCTCCCTTTCTGCTGAGAACATTCCTTCAGTAAATCAGCACATCCAAATCTTGCTAGACTTTGTCCCCAGTAAGCTCATCCTAAGACCTGGGTATTATTGTGGCAATATAGAGGCAAGGTAAGGATTACTCTAGGCAATTGCTGTCAAAATTAGTACCTCTTTGGGACATCTGGGTGGCTCAGTTGGTTGGACGACTGCCTTGGGCTCAGGTCATGATCCCGGAGTCCCGGGATCGAGTCCCGCATCGGGCTCCCAGCTCCATGGGAAGTCTGCTTCTCCCTCTGACCTTCTCCTTGCTCATGCTCTCTCTCACTGTCTCTCGCTCAAATAAATAAATAAAATCTTTAAAAAAAAATTAGTACCTCTTTGAGGTTAATGATACAGCTCTGGGTCAGCAAGTCCTTGCCCCCCTCACCATTTTAACACGTGCACTGGGGTTAAAAGCAATGCTCAAAGAAGTCAGGGGCAACTCGGGGAAGGGAACATTTTAACAGGACCAAAAACAATTTGTTTAGCAGAAGACATTTAGGTATTTATGATTAATTAGAAAATTATCAAAGTCCTAGATCTCTTTTTCAACCTCGCTGCTATTCGTAGTTTTTTCCTCGGTTACAGATAAAGGAAAGAAGGCAACCCTCAAATTGCTTCTTAGGCTTATTTAAAATTTTTGACACTTTGTGTTTCTGTATTTAATTTACTGAAGACCCTTGACTTAATGGCCTTCACAATATGTTGAGAAGCTTAGATTCATAGACTTGAAATAAAAGAGGGAACTAAACAAAATAATATCCAGTGTTTTCAGAGTTTTTTGCACTATAAAAACTTAAAAATAACATATTTTGTGATTATGAAAAGCAAAGTTAGTACAACTTAGGATAACTCTTTTACCCAAACATGTCCAATATATTTCATTTACACAATCATGTCCAATATATTTCAATTTTAAATGTGTTAAGCCAAATGAAAGCTTTTGTAAATGGGAGGGTAAATTGTCTTATGAATGATGTCTGAAGAGAACTGAAATCACATTGACAGTTAATTGAATGCCCTAGACAAATCTGGTTTCATACCTTGTTCAGTCAAACAGGGTTATGCTACAAGTAGGTTCTCAGTCTTTGGGTGTCATAGAGCTGTTTCAGGGGGTCGATATCATCATCCAAGGTGATAATGATCTCTCTCCCCATGTTTCTTTTTTTAAATCAATCTAAAGAGGTTATTTGTTATTTTTTTTTTAAATAAGAGTTTGAGAGTTTCCAAATTGATATCATGTGTTGGTGGAGCCCAATGTGTATACTTACGAGTTGGTCATTCAGTCAGCCATCTCCACCTGTGTGATGATTTTAACTTTAATGCAGTTTAAGTTGCTTGTATTCTTAGTTATAAGTTGTTTAATTTATACTCATAATGACTGCTTTAAGACCACAACATAAGATTTATAAGTTACTGAAGTGTGTAATACTTCTGTAAATTTTCTCAAGGCAATATTTATTACATCTGAGATACAATCATCTGTTTTTGTTTTTGGATTTTTTAAATGTAGCCCACCAAGTTGTCTCTAGTAACTTAAAATATGTTTGAAAAGAGAAACTATAGTGGCAATTTTGTCTAACTTGGCTTTTCTTTTTTGTGAATAAAAATCCAGCTAATTGTATAAGAAGTATTTAAAATTCATATTTTGAAACCCTTGCCATTTAGAAACAAAACATGGTACTTAAAAAAAAAAATCACTTGCCTTTTCTAGATGTAAAATGAACGAATTTCAAGTATCATATTATGCAAGCTCTTTTTATCTATTTTTGATGTTGTATCATAGCCTCATTTCAATGTTTTAAAAGAAATGTGATCTTCAAAATAAACCCTTTTTATTTTACACAATTAGCTTAAAGTAAAATAAACAGTGGGCATCACTTGTTAAATGGGAAATAAGCATTGTCAGTATGTTTTTATTTTATTCTTTATTGCAAAGATTGGATGAAGATGAATTTTAGAATGCTTCCTTAAATAATATAACAAACTAAAATAAACTGCCTTTTCTTTAAAGTTACATTTCTACACAAGCATTCTCCTACTGTACAAATTTAGTCACAAAATTTCACAATAAAAAAAGAAATAATTATTAAAATCCTGAAGGGTTTTGAAAGAGTATGTACTACAATGAAAATAGTTTATGGATCCAAAAGGGAAAACATTGGACTAATGGTTCCTAAGATTTTGTCCAGCCCTGGAATACGTATCGAATTTCCTAGAGTAATATTCGAAAAGATAATTCCTGCCCACTTTATCAGGTTTTCAATATTTTGATTTGTTATAATGCAAAAACAGGAATAATATCAGTATAATTTTCCTTAAGATGTTAATGTGCAATGCCAGCACTTGAGAAGGGAAACAAGAAAATAGATGGAAAGATTTGGTACCTACTGTTCTGGATAACCGTTTATCAGAACCTGGCAATCGTAGGGACA